CTGTGTAACTTTATTGCGTTGGAAAAGAGGAAAAGACTATACTATGACTATCCTATGGACCCCGCTTGCTCTTGTTCAGCGGATTTTTTCAGAACAAGGGTTCAGATTTGTTCTATTCTGTTGGTAATAATGTAACAATTCTGTTCGTAGGAACAAAGAGAAGCAGATTTATTCTATACTCGATAAGTACCAATACGCAACGGGGGTTGATACCTTTTTCTATGAGCGAAAGGGTCCCCATTTATTCATCATTAGAAGGCCCTATTCGTAAGAATTTTACTATATTCATTATTCATTCTGCATTTTTTATGACTTTAGGAATTTTTATAGTCTATTTTTATAGTCTATAGAATCTATTCTATGTATAAAAGAAATACGATAAAAACCAATACTCAATACTATAATATAAAGCCAATCAAACCCTATTTTTTTTTTACGTTTCCCCATCAAAGTGAAATTTTAAATTTAAAGTAGGAGATCTTTTCATTTTATGCCTATTGGTGTTCCAAAAGTACCTTTCCGAAATCCCGGAGATGAAGATGCATCGTGGATTGATATATAGTGCGACTTGTCAGATATATTGAGTCATTTGGGATTTCCCCGTTCTCTCCCCCGAGAGAGATAGCCCCCCTTTCACCTAGATAAATTCATGGAATCATCCAAAATTTGGAGCGTGAAAAACAATGAGAACCTTTTGTTTTGGGGGAAAATTCATATTACTTACTATTATATTCTATTATTATTATGGTTGGCTTGGTTGGACTAAAAAAATGAAGTATTCAGGCTCCGTTGAAAAAAAAAGCCAATCGGTAATATATCGATGATTTTTACTTGTACCATAACTGATTCCTATATTTGGAAATTGAAATAGATCCTCTTTGTCAGGTATCTCAAACTTTAATAACTACTTGGTAGAAGGTATGACATGAATTGAAAAAATAAAGTCATAACAAAAAGAAATGGTAATGGGAGCATTTGTTCTATATATACAAATCAAAATGGGGCGAATCCTTACCCGGAGAAGAGCAGAAACCTAAATAAAAGAAACTCATTCAGGAACAAGAAAATGCCATCGGAATTTGGATGAAATCTCGATGAAACAATACATCAATGAGAAGTTAACTCGATAAGTTTAGTGACCCCTTTTCTTCTTCTTCTAATAGATAGAAAAGCGAAAAATAGAAACGGAGTTCGTCTTTATTGAAAAATCGAAAAAAATTTCGCTAGACGTCAGAAAAAACCTGTTATGAAAAAAAAAGAAAGGGGCTGGAATCTATACATTGATTCTTTTTCACAATTTTTTTGAACCGTATGCGTCAAAAGGCGCATGTACGGTTCCTAAGGGAAACAATTTCCCCTAATCAACCGACTTTATCGCGAACGATTCCTGTTTTTAGTTCAAGAGATTGATAGTGAGATCGCGAATCAAATTGTTGGTCTTTTGGTATATCTTAATATCGAAGATGATACCAAGGATATTTTTTTGTATATAAATTCTCCCGGGGGAGATGTAATATCTGGAGTAGCTATTTATGATATGATGCAAACTGTGCGGCCAGGTGTCAGTACAATATGCATAGGATTAGCCGCTTCAATGGGATCTTTTATCCTGGCCGGGGGAGCAATTACCAGACGTGCAGCATTCCCTCACGCTTGGCGCCAATGAGGTTTTTATTTGACAAAAAAAAAGAAGACTATGCCTTCGTTATATGAATATATGAATGTCAATATAATATTAAGTAATAATAGCATGGCACTTCGAATTCGATATTCAATTTTTTTTATTGTTTTTCAAAACAAAAACATTCGATTATGTATCGAGAGAGGAGTATGAACTCAAAGGTATTTCCGATTTTCTCTTATCTATCGGGAGTCCAGTTCAGCGTCACAAACCCTTTTTTGTTTTCATGCCAGGGGGTACTTAAGAATATGTAAGTCACGATTTTTTCATTATTTGATCGGATCAAAAAAGAAACTTTGGGATTGCTAGAGACAAAAAAATCATAAATAGAACTATATAAAGCAACGGAGCCATCATAATATTTTTCAACTTCTCCGAAAGGAAGGGTGGCAATTTGATCATTTACCCATCTGGTTCTGATAGATTCTATTTTTTTTTTCTCTTTCTTCAATGGAAGGGAGGGTTCAGGGTCCATTTTATTGTAGAGCCGTATGCAATACCCAAAAGATGCCTGTACGGTTGTTCAATTCTATCGTTTGTCTTCGCTTTTTCATGCGAGCTAGAGGAACATTTTGTTATATCATCAGGGTAATGATCCATCAACCTAGGACTTCTTTTTTTGAGAGTCATGCAGGAGAACTTCTCTTGGAAATGAAAGAAGCGTTGAAACTGCGTGAACGCATCGCAGAGATTTATGCACAAAGAACCGGCAACCCTACCTCGATCATATCCCGAGACATGGACAGAGACGTTTTCTTTTCAGCACGACAAGCCCGAATTTATGGAATTATTGATGATATAGAGTTCTCAGATGATGAAGAGTTATTAAGGGGTTGATCTTGTAGGGATTGTATTCATATGGATTTCGTTCAAATATGTGATTTTAGATTTGATCTCCGAGTTGAATATACACTCTATTAAATGGAAATAGAAGGAATTCATCATCAGTCGGTTAGGATCAATCTAAACCAGACCATTATATTATGTATACAATTCAACATGCCAACTATTAAACAACTTATTAGAAATCCAAGACAGCCAATCAGAAATGTCACGAAATCCCCCGCTCTTCGGGGATGTCCTCAGCGTCGAGGAACATGTACTAGGGTGTATGTGCGACTCGTTTAGATTATCAGCTGGCACATAACAAAAGAAAAAAAAGAACTTTTCCAGTATCAATGGTCAGTATCTGAGTGAATGGGATAGAATGGAAGAAGGAACTCCACTCATTATTAAACTCTATCATATCCCTCTATTGTGTATAAAGTTTATGGTTTCCATTGGTGCAAATCCAATTACCTCAATTGAAGATGAGAATAAATTCTCCATTGGTAGCAAATGGTTATCCATTAAGCGGAGGAAATCCTATTTAAAAAACATAACGATTAGGCTCCCACTCTGGCAAGAACGGACTAACAGGGCCAGCTACCCCAGCTAACTTTCATACTTAAATACCGTTACTTTATAAGTAGATCTCGTTGTGAAAGACCTATTACTGGAGAATTCATGGGTAGAGCCAAAGAATGTGAACTATACAAGTTCCCAATAACGTTGATTAGTTGATTAAATGAAGTGAAAGGCTCCGGTGTATAGAGAAGACCTCACCGTTTCAGAAGTAACCATAGAAACGAAGGAACCCCACTATTTCTTTATCTAGTTCTATTTTTTTTATTTACTCTATTTTTTTTTTTGATACATAGGAAAATAAAATTTTTTATGTCTTTCTTATTCTTGTTTCGTGGTAAAATACCTAAACAAAAAAAAGAAAAATCGTGGTTGGGAAGGTTATAGTAGCAAAAGCCATTGGAATTTTTATTTTATACATTGGAGAAATCCGTTTTGTTAGTATAGTAATAGAAGACAGAGTAAATAAAAGAATAGCTGAAAGAAAGAAAAAATGAGTTATTCGAAAAAGTTTCATTTATTCCATGACCAGAATTAAACGGGGATATATAGCTCGGAGACGCCGAACAAAAATGCATTTCTTTGCATCAAGTTTTCGAGGGGCTCATTCAAGGCTTACTCGAACTATGACTCAACAGGAAAAAAGAGCTTTGGTTTCAGCTCATCGGGATAGGGATAGGCAAAAGAGAGATTTTCGTCGGTTGTGGATCACTCGGATAAACGCAGTAATTCGCGAAAGAGGAGTATCCTATAGTTATAGTAAATTCATACACGATCTGTACAAGAACCAATTGCTTCTTAACCGTAAAATACTTGCGCAAATAGCTATATCAAATAGGAAATGTCTTGATATGATTTCGAACGAGATCGTATAAATAAAAAAAGTAGATTGTAAAGAATCCAACGGAATATTTTCAATGGAGTTCCCGGAGAATGAACTCCGGGAAGGTAGAGTAGAAATTACGATGATCAAATATGATAAAATAGTAAAACACGTTCAATCCAAAAAGATTTCTGATTCATTTTTTTCTTATGACACGATAATCAAATATAGATTCACGGATTTTTCGAGCAAAACACCAATCCGCATTTGAGTTCGGATTGGAATTATGATTCAAGTGAAGTAAGCCTATTTCTTTTTTTTATTTATTTGGAATTTTTCTTTCTTTTGATCTTTATTTTGAGTTCTAGCTTTCAAAGCATTAGTTCTAGCGGTCGATTCGCTTATTTGAAATCCTTTCCTTTTAAAGGGTAACAAAGATAAAATACGAGCTTGTTTTATCGCAAGAGTAATTAATCGTTGTTGTTTCAAGGTCAATCTATTCACTCGTCTAGATAATATTTTTCCTTGTTCACTAATAAATCGGCTAATTAAGCTCATGTTTCTATAATCAATTCGATCCCCCGATTGAATCGGGGGCAAACGCCTACGAAAAGATCGCTTGGATTTAAGAAAAGGTCGCTTGGATTTATCCATAGTTTGTTTAGTTTATTCCCTATCCCGAATATCTTATTTTCGTATTTTATATCTTATTTTCTTATTTTTTCATTAGAATTCAATTTCATTATCAATTTGCCCCAAATAGGATTTGTTTATTTCAATCTGTTATAGATCCGGTATAGAGAATGTCGTTCTTTTTTTCCCCCTCCTTGAAAGAAAGACCAATTTATTTTTTGATCTCTCCATGAATCGTATGTTTGTAACAATAGGGACAGAATTTTTTCAATTCTAATGGATTAGGCGTATTGTGCCGGTTCTTTTGAGTAATATATCTGGAAATGCCCGTTGATACCTTATTAACACCGTTTCGGACACAACTGGTACATTCCAAAATCACCGCCACTCGTACATCTTTACTCTTGGCCATGAACCTCCTTTATATTTTTGATTGACTCAACTCTTCTATTTTCAATT